GACATCACTCTCATACCAGTCAATGACTTTATCAATTACAACATCAGAAAGTTTGTTTCCCTTTTTCCGAGCTGGTATTGCCAAAATACCATCCGTTTTTCGAAGATTCTTGGCTTTTTGAGCCATGCTTTTAGGACAACCGAATTCTACAGCTACTTTGCGAATGGACCAACATTCTGGAGCTATTGTAAGAATGGTTATGCGTAGAGGATCATTATCTGGTAATTTATTAAATAATTCCTTTAGGCCATTTAAAAGCTCCTCTAACTCTTCTGCCCTTAATAGGTCAGGTTTTTTCGACGGAGATGGTTCAGTTTCAGAATTGTTTTCTTGGGAGAGGTCTGATTCCCCCATAGGTGTCTCATCAATGTCAGGTGTTTTATAATTTGCATAAAACCTGTTTCGACATTGACTACAAATTTTTGTACTTTCATTACAAATTCCAAATTTTTGTAACATAGGTTTAGACATTTTTCGTAAATATTTTCCTTTATGTCCATCAATTTCAAAAGGATTTATACATCTATCTAAATGAGAAGCATTTTCTGAAGATTTTCGCTTTATAGGAGCCATGTTATATTTCCAAAATCGACCGAATTCAATATTAACTGCTAACAATCAACATAAAAAATGAAAAAAGTTTCCAGTTCATAAAACTAAAAAAAACATCAATCTTAAATCGAATAGAAAAAAAATAAGAAACGGTAAATTACAAAACTGAAAGAATGTTGGACTCTCTAAAGAGTGACCAAAAATTCTTCAGAGTTATGGTACGTCAAGAATTAAACTAGAAAAAGCAATCTAAAAATAAATTTTTAAAAATAAATTCGGCAAAGAAAATTATAGAAAGGAGGAATTTTAGAAGATTTTTCAGGAATTGTACGACTGCTACGGTTTGCGATCACAAAATAAGAACTGTTTAGCGAACGAGCCCGGCTTATTCATACAGTGGTAGGGGAATATGGCTTGGTAGGATATCGCGACGCGCTGATTGGTCCGCACAAGTCACGCGAGTGTGAGGAGAAGACCCAGCGACGCGTTGATTCGTCTGTTTGAACCTCCTGAGCTCAAGAAGTTTTGGAAGCCTTAAACGCCTTAAAATACATTTAATTTAAATTTTATATTTAATTTTATTCACAAAGCAGAACTTAATAACTTTAAAATGTATGATTATAAAATTAAACTGAAAATTGTAATATCGCTTATATATTGTTATTATATATTGCTCGTCAATATTTTCTTAACAGGGTTTCTAAATAATTTTTATTGCAAGTTTTCATGAATTTTCCATGATTTCCAGGTCTTGAGTAATACGATTTCTATTATGTATCAAAAACCGTTAAAAAACATTAACAATATTATTAAATAAAAAAAAATCAAAAACAAATTAATTAAAATAACATACTTTATTAAATTAAAGCTTAGAAAATTATAATAAATATTTTTACAAAAAATATTTCTCTCAAATAATTCAATTAAATGAAAATCCGATTAAAAGCAAGTCCAAGTTAGAGAAAATTAGGCTAAATAAAATTTCCTTCAAAACAATATAGATTAAAATAAACAATTCGATTAAAAAAGAATTCTGTTAAAGAGGAAATTGGTTAAATTAAAATTTAAATACATAAAAATTCAATAAAAATAAGAAACACTTGTTGTTAGAAGAAATAACCACGAAAACACTTTTACTTGCATCCTTTCCATGTGTTGGCGAACAGGACCAATAATTTGAAAAATCGAAATGTTATAAAAAACCGCAATATGAAATTTGTTTTTACATAATCTATCTGTTATAAGCATTTTTATTACTTATTTGTTTTCAATGAGAATTCTTCTTCTTCTTAAACCAGATTTTGAAAACAAAGAATAAAAATAGAAAAACTATCAATCGGCCCTTTTCAGGGCCACCTAATGCAATTGTTACTTATTGTCCAAAGATTTTTTTACTATGCTGTCAATAAGAATTTCTTTTAGATACAGGACCAAAAAATAATTTGGAAGTAAATTTGAAAAAGATTAACATAAAAGTTATAACCAGCGATCCCAAAAACCCCTCGAGAAACAAGTATCGAGCAATTACGTTCAATTTTTAAAACTTATTTTGGCCATTTTGGATCCACCATTTTGAATTTTTAAAAATCAACTTCAAATTCATTATCAGTGACCCCAAAAATCCCCCGAGAAACAAATATCGAGCAATTGTGTTCGATTTTTTAAATTTCTTTCCGCCATTTTGAATCCGCCATTTTGAATTTGTAAAAATTAAGTTCAAATTTGTAATAAGCGACCTCAAAAACCCCCAAAAAACAATTTTCAAGCCAATCTAATCGTTTTTTAATTTTTGTCCGCCATTTTGGATCCGCCATTTTGAAATTTTAAAAACTAACATCAGATTTGCATTCAGCCTCCTTTAATACTTTTAGGTAAGGTATTTGAGAATAATTTGAGTTCTTTTGGGCTTTAAATACACAAATTCGTTTTAAAATTCCAGAACATGATGGCATTTATCGGCCATATTCGCATCGCCATTTAAAATTTTTGAAAACGCCACTCGAAATTCGAAAGTAGACGAATTTACGAATTTTTTAAGCTATCATACGCTTAAATCCGTTAAGATCATTTTTGTCTAGGAGACTGTCCTTGTTGGCGTGGAACGTCCCAGATGTAAGTGACAATTCGTAAAAATGTCATTTCGGACAAATAAATATTTTTATAAATTACATTTAGCAAAAGTGACAATGGGTAAATATATAGTTTAAAAATAATAAAGATTCGTAAAAATAAAAATTCGTATAAATAGCATTTCGCTATAAAAACTGTTCGGTTAATTGATATTTAGTTAAAATGACATTGACCAAATGCAGTTCGGTAAAGTGTCATTTGAGAAATATTCATGCGCTTGGAAATTTTATAAGTAATTAAAATTAAAAAAATTAAATTAATATAAAAGGAAGAATAACTTGGAGAAGCAAAATTACATGTTAAAATGTTTAAAGAAAAATCACGTGTTAAATGGAAAATGGAAGCAACGTAGTCGACCGCGAAGCGGTCGACGGAGGAGCTAGTAATAATAATCAACAGTATTATTAATTTAAAATTACTTAATTTAATTATTAAATTATTAGATTATTATTCTTAGATTTCTTGTTCTGATTTTGTACAAAATAAAAAAGAATTATTTCAATAAATGTTAAAAATAATTTTATACAAAGCTAGAATTGCACATTTTAATATATAAAGCTTTGGAGTATAGTATTATAATCTTAATAACTTTAACGTCAGACTATAGTAGTAGTAGACACAGGTCTACAGTAGTAGTGGTACGGATTACTACTTTTTCTAGTAAAAAGTTCGCTCTGCAATAGTAAAAGTTGTTTCTTGCAGAAGTAATCTTTTTTTCCGAGAACTAATTATTAGAATTTCTACGAGTAATATTTACAACATATCGAATGTAAAAAATAATACAAAATTTAATAAAATTTACAATGACGATGTAAAAATTAAAATTCTTAAAGCAATTTTTAAAAGTGACTAATGTAATAATTACTATTACTAATTTTCACTACCAGAAATAGTAATATTTACTTCATGCGATGTACATTTTACAATGAATAGTAATTTTTAATATAAAAGTAAAATTATTACTATTCCATAGGATTTTTTACTAGAAACTCAGCACCATTTTTCTCCGTGTAATAATAAAAATAATAGTAATAATAAAACTATAATTTTATTTATAATTATTAGGGTTCCGTAAACTGTAGGTGTTCTGTCGGAATCCTTATGAAATCACTCGTTTTTCCGTTCCAGAACACCCCTTAAATTCAAATTTTGCAATCAAAAATAATAAAAAATTAAATTATTTAAACAATTAACACTATTATTATCCGGGATTTCACAATTGTTTTAATAAATACTTGTTTTTATTCAATTAACTCCATATACATATAAAGCACGTACAAACTAAGGTTATTTTTTAATTTTGCAAATAATTAAGTTGGGCAAAAAAATCTGAAGATATTTTATGATTTTAACAATTCAGCAACAGTGTAAACAAATAGGGTAGTTGTACCAGGGAAAGAATTGACATTAGTAAAAGAACAAATTGATTAATATTTATCACGATATTTCACAAATTATAACTTTTAGTACTATAAAAAAAAATTTTTTAGTTCCTTATTTCTTCAAAATATAGTTTACGATAAAAAAATAGATTTAATATGCAAGTTATTTTTGAAAATAATTTTTCCCATAGTGGGAATTTTTTATAATTTACTTTTCAAACATTTCTAAAGCATTCAATTTTTAATCCATTTGAGTGCTCTTTGGTTTAAATTAAAGGGAAATAATTTCTCAAGTTATCCCTCAATACACACCTGAGAATATTCAATTGTTTATAATTTTTTTTATTCAAAGTTAACAAGTTTATAGTGTACTTTCCCTTAAACTGTTGTAAACAATTTTAATTAACAAATAGTTAACTTTGGTTCCTCTTCACATAAAAAATTTGGTTCTTTCATATTTATATGACGTACAGTACAGTGTATTAGTATTGGTAATAGTAGAGGGGCTGCTTTTCTGAACAACCACGTGTAAACACTCAACAAGCTCATTTTAAAACATTAATAACAAAAAACCTACAAGTAGAAATTATTTTTGATTTTTGTATATGAAAGACCAATTCAAAAATATAGAATATAATATAAATAACTCAAAATTAATTTTTTTACACTTCAGGTCCCTGTCACCGTGGAGCGTCACAACTGTTACAAATCGCTTTGTAACCATGTTCAAGATTTGTTATTTAACTGTTACATCCCCCTGACTTCGACTTTTTGCGAACCCTATGTCATCATTTACAAAACATATTCTTCAATTATTTGTAACAGTGTTTTCTGGGCTTTCATCAAAACTGCAAGACCTTTTTTTCAGAGTGTGTATTCTTTAATAATAATGTATTCATTTAAATTTAAAGGTAAATTGTTAAAATATTCACTTACCTTTATTTATAAGATACTCTGGTGAAGAAAACATTTTTTTATATTTATAACCTCTTTTATACTAGCAAGAGAAAACAATTATTGGTTACAATAATTGATTCATTTTTATTGCAAATTATTTCTGAGAATTTTATGTAGAATAAAAATACGTAAATTTCACTGAAAACGAAGTTGATAAAAACATACTTCACAATTGTTCAAATGCAGAAATATTGTAACGGTCGCATATTGTAATCTTAAAATGCAGTTATGTTTGCATTTAACTTGCAATGAATTAAATATTCCTGACACTTACGTGGAATACATTTATTTTCATATTATTAATTCGCAGAAAGATTCCTATAAAGTAAAGTGCAATTAATTTATCATCTTATTTGCGACGAGCAAATATGGATTTCCTTACCAGGGCCACATCGGGCGCATCGTTTTATTTCCTAATAGGGACGGCCCGATCCGGGCCACAGCAAAATTTCTACACGGGCAGGGCTACTTTGTGCCCCAAATAGCTATTTTTGACTCTACGATTCATTAAAATTCAGAATTAAAAAAAAATGAAAATCAACTGTTGATATATGTTGGGACATCCTTTTAAAGGTGGTCTTTGAGTTGGCCGACAAAACAAATTTTTTGTTTAAGTTGTAGTCAGAAATTCGTCCATTGTGTATGCTTCATTAAATCTTTTTTGTAGATAATCCAGAGTATACTTGTAGAAAAATGTCTTTGCAAACTATAAACGAATACAGTTTTACTACATTAACTGCTTTACATTGTGGTACGGTCTAGAATCTATATAGTTACACTACACACTTAGAAAACAATCTATTTATTCATCTTAAGCAGATTTCCCTTTTAATATTTATTTAAAAGGATTTCCTCTAAGTACAAAAGGAAAGTCTTTTAAAGTATATCCCTTAGGGGCCGTACACATAATACGTCACGCGATTTTTGACCATTTTTAACCACTCCCTCCCCCTATGTCACACTTCGTCACAAATCTTGAACCCCCCCCCTCCCCCTACGTCACGTCACACACGTAAATTTCACTGTAAATTTTATACATTGGACATTATATATTATATCCTACACTCTAAATTATTGAATCAGTTAAAAATAACTGATTTAGAAGCAAAAAATCAGACACTAATTCAAATAGTAATATTTTTTTCTGACAATTAGTTAAAAATAACTGATGTTTTAATACAATTTTTTTTATTAATTCAAATTAGTCACGTTTAACTACCTACATAGCACCGAAACTTTTCTAACAATTTATTAAAGATTTACCCGCAAGCTTCGAAATATTTAAATGCAAAGTTTAGTGAAAATTGTGTAAAGATTTAAATATCCCACTTCAATAAGTGTTTAGTGCGAAACTTTCCTGAAAATTTAACCTAAATTTTCAGGAAAATTTTCGTATAATAGTCGAAAATGTAATTTAAATGTTCAGTAAACTTTCAAGCTATATTATTAAGAAAATTTGACGATAAACATTTATTGGGGTGAGAAATTTAAATCTTTACAAAATTTTAAAATAAACTTTGCAAGTAAATTTTTCGATGTATGCAAGCAAATCTTTAATATACATGTTTAGAAAAGTTTCAGTGTTTTGTGGATAATTTTTCAGTTATTTTCAACTGATTTAGAAGCAAAAAGTCAGTTACCCTAGTAGAAATTTGTCGTGGCATGACTAGATTTATTCAAGTTACTGTACAGTTTTAGTCATGGAAGTTTAATCTAGCTTAACTGGCGAATTACTAGACAGCTACTGCATAACACTGTTAAAGAAAATATAAAGTTGAACTTGATTATTACTGCATAGAAGTCCTGTACAGTTATTTTCATGGCACTGTCGAGGCGTTCCGAGAAATGATGTTCCAAAGTTTGTCGTGGCGTTAGCGCTACCGCCAGTTTCAGTAACTAAACAGTTGTGTATTGACATTTTCGAAATATTTTCTATAAAATAAATCTTTTGGTTTTACAGTTTATAGTTTTTATAATTTTAATTTTGTTCTTTTATTTTACTGTTGACAACTAAATAACAAATTTTTTAAATTATTTAATATTAAAATTTTGATTTAATAATAAAAATTTCTTTTCAATCAAAATTTATTTTTAATGAAAATTCCTTTAGAAAAAAAAAATTTTTTTTAAATTCGCTTCAATTAATTGAGTTAATTAAAATAACTAATTTTTTAAATTCAGAAGACAATTTCTTTTCAAGATTATATACTCTTATTATATGTATAAATATTAATTTAACAAACCTGTTACATACAAAAAGTTAGAATTGGTCCAATAAAGTGAGGTTATGTTTTACATTGATGAATTGACGTTGACATATGTATAGCTCTCCGATCTGAATAACAGAACTGTCTATAATTAATGACAGTAGACAGTAACAATTTATTACTAATTCCTTACGGAAAAAATAGACATAATTCTAGTTACACCCGCGAATTATTTCTTTCAGTGTATACTCTGATGTATTTATGGAAAATGTCTACACAACACTGTTCAGTTGCTGGACTGACGGTAGCGCTAACGCCACGACAAACTTTGAAACATAATTTCACGGAACGCCTAGACAGTACCATGAGAATAACTGGACAGACAGAACTTCTATACAGTAATAATCAATAAGTTCAACTTTAGAGTGTTATGCAGTAGCTGTCCAGTAATTCGCCAGTTGAGCTAGAAAAGATGAAAAAGGGAACTGCTTTACCTGCCGGTAGAGTATGGTTCTTATTTTTCCGGAATCGTCCATCGACTAGAACGGCCGTGATGCGTAAAGCGTGCGTTTAGGTATTTCGTCCCAGTGTGACCCGAGTTCGCTCCCCGAAACCGCTAGATATTTTTCGTTTGAAATGAATTAATTCTTCATATTAGGGTTTACTTATAAGTTTGTAGTGTGATAAAATAATAATATTTATTTCAGTGTTGTGCTTAATTAAAGGAAAAAGTGAATGTTGTTTAATGTAAAAAAATGACATGTGTTCAAGAATCAGTAATTTTTATATTTTTTTTTAATTATGTAGTTATTTAAAAATAATTTTACAGATAATTTATTATAAATCATTTATTATACGGAACAATAGATACACCAACAGTAAAAATATAGTTTCGTAAAATTTTAATTTATTTAATTTGTTGACAAAAAAATTTAACGTTATATTTTCAAATTTGTACGTGTTTAATACGTAACGTCAATATAAAGAAAGTTTTGACATTTCCAAGTGAATTATTTTGTATAGTTTTTCTACAGGACTGATGATCAGAAACTGTAAAATTTGACTGGACAATAACTTGAAGAAATTAGCGTGACATCACTTTATAGTTTTTAGCCAGTTTAACTGTAAAGTGCCTCGAAATTTTCCAGTGGAACTGTCCAGTGCCCTTAAAGATACTATGACAAATTTCTACTAGGGTACTGCTGATTGTCAGTTAAAACCATGATTTTTAACTGATTCAAATTAAGAGAATATATTATTTATCATATTATAAATAATATACCAATAGATGTTAAACAGGTACATTTTAGATATTAAATAGTTTAAAGCATTTTTAACTTGTTTTATTTAGAAAAAGTGACATTGTCACATATAATTTCTTATAATCTTTGAATATAAAAGATTGTGACGTAACACATGAGTTCACCCCCCCTCCCCCATGTCACACTGAGGGTACATTTATACGACGGTCGGTAGAAAAAAAATTTACCGAAAAAGTCAAAATCGCGTTCACACTTCGCTTTTCCGATAAAATGGAAAAACTGTTTCTAGCGGGAATTTTAAAATATATATTTTATTTAAAATGAATTAACACTGTTTTAAGTAAGAAAAATCAAGTTTTTATTAGATGAATATTGTTTTTTAATGATTTACAATAGGAAGATGAATTTTCTTGATAAATAACCGTGTAAATAAATATTAATTAACTTTTGTTTTGAAAAGTTGTAAGCAACGTTGACAGCTGTTGTTGATGCGGAATTTTGTGTGAAATTGTAAGTATAATGATAAATTATTAAATAATATTTATATAATTTAAATAAAAATGTTTAATGGGGATATTTAATATGCATTTTATTATGTGTATGTACATATAAGTATAACTTATTTTTCGAAAAGTAATATAGATTTAATTGTGTACATAACCTATAAATGTATGACAAGTACCCTTCAACATAAAGCAAGTAAATTTTTTGTAAACAAAATATGCAGTTGTAATTGTTTGATAATTTAAATCCCTAATAATTCTTTATTTGGTTTTGTTTAATTTAGACGAGGAACGTTCATAATGGATCTTGAGTATCAAGGGGTATGTATAAACAAAATTTAGTATATCAATGTTATATTCTAACCATAAATTTGTTAATTTATATTGTTCATGAAAATAGTAATAAATTTATCAAAAAGGTTTAGACATTATACAGTAGATGGTAAATTTCTTTCGATTTCTATCATTATTTTCAATTTATTCAAATACAAATGTACGTTATTATTTTCGAAAATGTTTACAAATTTGCGGCATTTCCGTATGGAAGAAAAAATAAGTGTTTTTGAAAAATAAAGTGTAAAATAATTCTCACTATAATTCAATTCAATTCAAGTAGGCATCCAATTTTATTTTATCTGTGAGGGTAATCGCTACTAATATTTTTTTTACTAGGTTGTAGATTGGGAAGAAGACCTTTCTTCTGATGAAAGCAGTGATGAAGAAATTGTTTTATTGTTGCTTCTACGAAAACGCAAGCGGAGGTGCGACAGAAGATTTTGGGTACATCCGTTGTGGAAACGTCGGAAGCAACAGGGTAAATCTTTTTTAAATTTTAATTTCGTTTTTTGGAAATATATTTTTTAAATAAATAAATCATTCTTCAACACGAAAGTTTGAAAAATAAAATTGATAGTTATATTCCTGAAAATGAAATTTGATAATATATCAATTAACACAAAATATATTGTTTAAAGACATAAACAATTACATCAATTAACACCTTGTCCACGAATTCTCACCTATTCTTAATTTTTTTACAGGAGTCCACGATAATCTTTTTTGTGAAATGGCCATAACCGATCCACTGATGTTTAGGCAGTACATGCGATGTACTGTAATCCAGTATGAGAAATTGTTACAACAAATTGGAGGACAATTAAAGAGTATCCCCACTAGGGATGATATTATTACTCCATCCCAGAAGCTCATGCTTACCCTGAGGTAATTTAAACATAAATAATCTGTTCCAATCGTATATTTTACCCTTTACAGATATGCAAATAGCTTAAAACACTACTAAATAAAAACTGAACACTAATAAGACTAAAAGAGAAATAAATAATAAAATACTATCAAAACAAAAAACTAACTCTAATTACGAAAGCTCAGCTTTCTAATTCATATAAATAAATTTTACCATTAGAAGAATTAAAATTTTCTTTATAATTTTGGAGTAATTTCAAATTTCTGTATTTCAATTTACTAATAGATTGTCCTTAGTCTTAGAATAAATCTTAACTACTATTCAATATATTTAAAACACTCAAGTTTAACTGATCTTAACCCGTAAGTACTATCGCTTTTTTATTGTCTCACTCGCACTCCAAAAGTGCCCTATAGGTTGAGTAGTGTTGCGTGAGACTTTTTCTCTGTAGCGCGAGTGCTGACGGGGTAACGAGATTTTGAAAAAGAAAATTTCAAAATTTTGTCAAAAGAAATTGAAAAACTTATTTCCTTAATAAAATAAATATATGCCTTGCTTAGGTTTTTGGCAACTGGGGAGACTTTCCATTCCCTTCAAGGTCAATTCCGGATAGGACTTTCTACTATTCATTTGATTGTTTATAAAGTTTTAAAAACTATTTGGAACACACTGCAAGAAAGTACGTTAAAGGCACCCACTTGCCCTGAAGACTGGAACGTTATTATAAAGGGATTTGAAGAAAAATGGCAATTTCCACACTGTTGGGGAGCAATAGATGGGAAACATGTTATAATGCAGGTAATTATTAATTTATAGTCATTAAAATAAAGAATGGATGATAATAACAATTATCCCTGTAAAGTTTATTTAAAAATAGAAATTTGCAATTTTTTGAGAAACAATTTGGTCCTTAAAGGGATAATTCTGCCTAACAATATTTAAAAAAATCATAACACTTAATAATTATTTTCTGTCATTTCAGGCCCAACCACATAGTGGTTCTAAAAATTACAATTATAAAGGGCACCACAGTGTACATTTATTGGCACTATGTGACGCAAATTATAAATTTGTAATTATCGATGTTGGCGCTCATGGCAGACAAAGTGACAGTGGTGTTTTCCAAAATAGTAATTTTGGAAAGAAATTAGCTAACAACACTCTTCATTTGCCTCCTCCTTCAAAATTAACTCCTGAAGGACCACATCTTCCTCAGGTTTGTGTTGCAGACGAAGGTTTTTTATTGACCTGTAATATTATGCGACCATATCCCGGAAGAAGTACGGGAAATTTGCCAAATGACCAAAGGATTTTCAATTATAGACTCAGTCGAGCTCGTCGAATCATAGAAAATACTTTTGGAATATTAGTATCACAGTGGAGAATCTTTCGTAGTTTCATTAATGGAAGCATTGAATTAATAGAATTGATCATCTTGGCAGCATGTTGTCTGCATAATTTTTTAAAAATAGAAGAAGAAGATTTAAATGAAGATGAGCGTCACTACTGTACGCAAAATTTAATTGACAGATTCGAAAATGAGGTGGAGATTGATGGAGATTGGCGAAAGGATTTTAGAATGGATGCATTTACGTCATTTGAAAGTATTCGTGCAGAAAAACTTGCTGCTATGTATGTCCGGGATGAATTCAAAAGGTATTTTTTAAATGAGGGCAGAATATCTTGGCAACAGAAAAGAGTTGATGAAGGTTCTTTCTAATAATTTTTTTTTCAAAGAAAAGTAAAATTTTTACTTTGTAATTGTGAAAATCAATATTTTATTTATTGAAATAAATAGGTATTTTTTAAAATAAATAAATTTATTTAAGAAACAGTTTCAATTCCTGAAATTAAAATTTTCATTCAACAATATTAGGTAAGCTCCAACTACAACATTCTCCATATTTTCCTGAACTTTCCAAAATAATTTATTTTTAACTTGTAATCGTTAACTTAATAACATTAAATTTTGATAAAACAAAAGTTATGTGCTACTTGATTCTGATAAATTACAAGTTTTCGAAAATTTAGTACAAGTCACAGTTATATTTACAACTTTATATCTTTTCAAATAGTTTCTTAAATTTCTTTCTAACACTTTTTATTTATATAATTTATAAAATTTAGTATTACGTCTTTTCCAAAAAACATTTTTATTCAAAATATTTCTAAAACAATTTTTTAAGATTTTTAATTTTATTAAAGTTTTCTATTCTTATTTCAAATGTAGAGCTCGAACCAATGAAAGTATTTCGTAATACGGACTTTACGGACAAAAAATGAACAATTACGGACCAATTGCTGGCAAAAATATAACCAGTCCAAATCAAATAAGAGAACACTTTACTTAAAATTACAAATTAAATTTTTCACAACTATAAAACATCAAGATATCAATAATTCCAGTCTTCTATAATAATTTTCATGTATTAAATTATTATTATCTAAAATTTAAATTGAAATTCATTTTTAAATCATTTTTTATTAGAAAATTCTACGAAAATTATATTATTTAAATAAAAAAGTTTATTGAATAATTGTTTATTTCTTAAAATTGAATTCTCATAAAGAATATTATCTAAAAATTTTTTAATAATGGAATTCTTTTGGCGAGTTCTGAAATGAGTTTTATTAATTATGAAAATAGTTGAATATTCCAAAAAAGAATTTTATTATTTCCAAAAATAATAAAATTGAATCCGTGTAAAAATTGTATTATTTATGAAAATAATTGAATTTTTGCGAAGAAATGTATAAAAAATTTGTAAATAATTGAATTTCTTTGAAAAATTTTTTTAAAATAGTAAATAATGAAAATCTTTGAATTGAGAAAAGTTTTAGAAAATAATTGAACTTTGCCAAGAATTTTATTAAAATTTTTAAAAATAATTGAATTTTGGAGAAGAATTTAATTATTTCTAAAGATAATTGATATTTTGACGAGAATTTTTAAAAAAATTTGAACATAATTTAATGTCTGTGATAATTTAATTATTTTTAAAAATAATAGAATTTCTGAAATCATTTGTAATTTCTCTACAATTATCCAAATTATATCGTAGAATTCAGATTCACAAACTTTTCGTCTTTTCTTAATCAAATTACGAACTTTTACGGGATTTACGGACCTATTTCTAGCCCAGCAAATAAAATTTTAAAAATTTTAATTATGATAACATTTTATAGAATAGAATAGAATTTATTTCTTGATGCTACAAATAATGTTTTACATCTCTTACAGTCTTGATAACATTTTATATTAAATTAGTACATACAAGAAATTTACTTATTTGGTACATTTCGTTTATTTTTTAATTTATTGTTCTTTTCTTGAAACGTTTAATTTGTTAAAAACAAATTTATTTATAAGTAATTTGAGAACAATATTTTATAGAAAAAAATAACTTGTTTCTTGAGCAAATATTCGTTAATACTTATTTTGCCTAATATCACAAGTGTTTCGATTTATCAGGTACTTTTAAGTATTAAATACTGATTATGGACGAACTAATAATACATCATTAATTATAACTAAAGCAAAATTTAAATTAGCTAGTTACAAACAGTTTTAAATATTCTAAATTTTAAAAAATTTTCGCAACTCATAACACGTGACATTACATTGCACAACGCCATTAAAATACTACGTTAGGAAAATAAATTTTAAGAAAAAAAGTATTTTAAATTCGATGCAAACAAAATAAAATGGATTATAAGATTAATATTAGTTTTGTGCTGTTAACGTCATTTTCTTTTGAAAAATATAATTTGTAATAGCAGACTGTATTTCAAGCCTGTTTGCACTTGGAAATTTATGCAATTCTTGAGAAATCCAAAGTGCCCATTGATGAACTTCATCCTCTGCTTTTCGAGATTCACGATGATTTTTTTTATTATTTAAATTTTCAATAAGTGCTATTTCCAGTGGATCCAGAGATCTTCTCCTTTTACCTGCAATGATTATTAGTGTTAATACAAATAAATTTGTAATGAATATTAAGACAAATTATTAAGAAAAAAATGTCCATGTCTTTTAATAAAAATAACGAATATTATGTATTTCTTTTTCATATGAATATTTTGATGAATAATGTTTATATAACTGTATAAAAAATTAATAGACCTTGCTTAACTTACATGACACCGACAATTCTGCTTCTTTATTTTTCTCAAAACCGAGAGCACTTGCATTATCACTGCTTGATTCCTCAGGTGGTTCGAGTGCAATGTTAGATATTGTACTACAAGTATCAAAAGAATAATATTAAAAAATTTTTGAAATAAATATGTGCAAAGTATTACATGTAAGCAATGTATTTCTTTAAAATACATTTATATATCTCGTATACCCAGAATTTTCTTTTTTCCGTCAATGGTTATGGAAAATTGAGTCTAATATTATTTCGGAGATAGATACCAATAGATACCTTTTACCGTGGAGAGACAAATATTTTTAATTTTATAACTGAAATTCTCAAAATATCTCGAATATAAAGTATTCAGTTAGAACCAGTGCATTTAAATAATTAACTTTGAAAATAAGTGCTACATGTACATAAAAGAAAGTATTAAATAATACTCATAATTTGATACTTGCCTACCAGGGGCCATTATTCCTCTAAGAAAAGAGAAGTGTTCATCGTAAACCCAAAATTTTTTAACTTTAGCTGCTGATCCGCTTCGCGGTTTAGATATTCGCCGCATGAACGTTTCTTTTAATGAAGTATACTTATCTTTGGCAATCCTGGGAGTCCAACCTGTAATTTAAAAAATGAAAATAATGAAAGCTGGATAGAATTTGAATTGAATCGTTTTTCTTTAGTTTTGAAGCGAAAAAGCTAGTCTTTTTGAAAATTTAAGTTAACAGTATAATTACCATTAAATTTATTGGCAATATTGTACCAAGCATCACCGATTAAAACTTTATTTCTTTTTTCAAGCGGTAAGGTGAAATTCCAAATACATTCGTTTTGCCTGACCAACTCCAACAGTGCTATTAAATTTTCTTCACTCTCCTCATCTGTTCTACTACTATTTACGTCAATGTTATTGCCTTGTTTTTTATATACAGGATTGATTGGCAAATCAGTAAACATAGAATTCACAACTTCAATATTTTCAGAAACTTTCTGGAAATTATTTCCTGCAGCCAATGTGCTTTTTCCATCTTCAAAATAAAAATTTTCCATTCCTTTTGTGTAATCGGAAAAATCGTCTATAATGTCAGTCTTATGAAAATTTGTCTTAAGGGGAAAGACTTTTTTATTTTCAATTGTTCCAATAGATGAATTATTAATCTCTTTGACGTTATCATTTTTGTCCAACGCTGACTGCAGAATCTGATAACAATAAAAAGTTAATTAAATGAAAAAAATGTTAGAATTTTTTGTATTTATAATTTTTGTTCAAAACAATAATTATAGTAGTAATAATGAATATTAAGTTACATATTTCTCTTTTTTATCAACCGGACTAAGTGACAGTACAGAAGCATTTTTAAAATGAAGATTTACGAATTTCCCCTTTTCAATGTTGAGAATGGATGGAGACATGACAACTTTCATGTTATCATTTGTTTTTAATACTGGCTGCGAAACCTATAAATATAATAGAAATTGTTGATACAAGGAGTAAAACACTGTATTTATAACCATTTCTTAGGATAATAATATTATAAAATATATGTTACATATTTCTTTTCTTGATCACCCGGCTTAAGTGAGAGTGGCAATGTAGGTGGCTTTTGTAAATTGAGATGTACTAATTTCTTATTAGCTGACACTTTTGGTAATAATTCCTCTCCATTTTCTACTTTTTTGTCTTTTTGAATAAAGATAACATTTCCCACGCGGATTAGATTATCAAAGTCCGCGTCCCCAAAACATGAGTGTTTCCATCCATTTGAATAGGAAATTTTTTCCTTGCAACTGTTGCAATATAAGTCCGTTAACACCTAAAACATAAAAAATGACATACATATATTAGTAGCGATTACCCTCACAGATAAAATAAAATTGGATGCCTACTTGAATTGAATTGAATTATAGTGAGAATTATTTTACACTTTATTTTTCAAAAACACTTATTTTTTCTTCCATACGGAAATGCCGCAAATTTGTAAACATTTTCGAAAATAATAACGTACATTTGTATTTGAATAAATTGAAAATAATGATAGAAATCGAAAGAAATTTACCATCTACTGTATAATGTCTAAACCTTTTTGATAAATTTATTACTATTTTCATGAACAATATAAATTAACAAATTTATGGTTAGAATATAACATTGATATACTAAATTTTGTTTATACATACCCCTTGATACTCAAGATCCATTATGAACGTTCCTCGTCTAAATTAAACAAAACCAAATAAAGAATTATTAGGGATTTAAATTATCAAACAATTACAACTGCATATTTTGTTTACAAAAAATTTACTTGCTTTATGTTGAAGGGTACTTGTCATACATTTATAGGTTATGTACACAATTAAATCTATATTACTTTTCGAAAAATAAGTTATACTTATATGTACATACACATAATAAAATGCATATTAAATATCCCCATTAAACATTTTTATTTAAATTATATAAATATTATTTAATAATTTATCATTATACTTACAATTTCACACAAAATTCCGCATCAACAACAGCTGTCAACGTTGCTTACAACTTTTCAAAACAAAAGTTAATTAATATTTATTTACACGGTTATTTATCAAGAAAATTCATCTTCCTATTGTAAATCATTAAAAAACAATATTCATCTAATAAAAACTTGATTTTTCTTACTTAAAACAGTGTTAATTCATTTTAAATAAAATATATATTTTAAAATTCCCGCTAGAAACAGTTTTTCCATTTTATCGGAAAAGCGAAGTGTGAACGCGATTTTGACTTTTTCGGTAAATTTTTTTTCTACCGACCGTCGTATAAATGTACCCTTAGTCACAATTCTCAGACCCCCTCCCTCCCCCTAGCCGCGTGACGTATTATGTGTACAGCCCCTTACTTATTAAAAAAGTTTTGTTTATTATTAAAAGAACAGGTTTTTAAAAGAAAAACAAACAGACTAGGTAATTATTTTTTAAAAATATTTATTAATGTTATTAATAAATAATTAATTAACTAGCATTATTTATTAATTTTAAATAAAAATAAATAAAATTTTAATTGAAATTATTAATTATATATTTTATTGGACTAATCCATTATTAATTATTATCATTAACAGTTAAAATAACGCGCGCGTGTGGCTGTGTTTTGTATGGTGAATAAACATACTTAAAAACCTCAAACTGATCAAATAAGACACTTATTTACAAAAGACAGTTGTAAACGTCCAAATGTCTTCTGTTAAGACAAAAAACAAAAAAGTATAATGTAAGTGTTTCATTAGAAGGAAACTTCTAATAAATAAAGTAAATCATCGATGATATTTTTTTTATAATTTCTTATTTTTATTAAAACGGATTTTAATAATAAAAAAATGTAGTATTATTATAATTGGGCATTTATTCATTCTTCCTGTATGCCATGAAAAATAATTAAAGCTCTAATTATTTTTCAACATATTACTTTTTCTCACGTAAGATAACCCGTGTGGATAATATTAGGATATTCCACGCGAGTCTCCCATAGGATGGAAATTTGGATATCCCAGGGATACCTCTGAGATGTCGCAAATATCCCAGGGATGTTCCTTAGATATCCCAATAATCAGCGGGATATCTCTGGGATATAATGACGTCCCCCACAAATACCGATAGTTAACCCTTAGAAATATTTCTTATGTAAATAAGGTTAGGTTTCTCAAGTAACCTCGTACTTTGTCAAGTTTTCTTGCTTTTAGCCCTAAATAAATTGTAGACATAAATAGTTTGTAAATTAAACAAAAGATAGCGGAACGATCACCTTAAATGCAATTGACCGTCCACCGGCAACAACTCGATCTGTGCTCTGACGCAAGCGTTATTACCAGTCGAGGAGCAGTGAGCGCCTCTGGTCCGTTCACTGCTACTCAATTGGTATTATGGAGAGTCCACAATAGGTGCAAATGCTAGGCTAGTGCAAGTACAAGTGCAAGTGTCACAGAGTTGGACTTGGTTGCGCGCGCACCGTGTTGCCAACTGTTGCGGAGTTCGTGAAAAAAGTTTTTCCTTTTGGTTTTGAAACTTCGCCGTTTTTGACAAATTTGTCTTAATTTAACACCGCCCAGCATTTATTAATTAAATTATTTAAATTCTTACGCATTTTCATCAAGTAAGTAATTATTTTTTTACTAAAATTTTAAATTACCTCACCAAAGCCACAAAATATTATAGGTTATGTTTACTATATTAAGATTTTATTAATTTTTTTATTATTATTAATGTTATTTAATTAATAAACTAATGTTCTCATAACCTCTGAAATATTTAATAAATATTATTTTTGATTTTCTTAAATTGAAAGAAAATTTTTTATCAAACTTTATTTATGATTTTTTTCTGCTCCTTTTTATTTATTCGACACATTTTTTTTATTTGAAAGAAAGATTATTTTTTAATGTTACAAAAATTTGTTAATAAATAGTTGGATTGAAGGCCCACAAAGTTCGAATTCAAATTCTTTAAATTTTTTAAAATTGGTATATAAATTCTTAATTTACTTTTTCTAATCATGAGGAACTGGGAATTCTACAAATGTTAATAAATTTTCATGTGATCACTGAAAAAAAATAATTGTTATTTATTACCTGACGTGATATTAAATGATTTCATAGAAGTACTATTGTAGCAAAAACTACATTACGAATTTTTTTACAGTTTTTTACAAGGATGTTCAATTTTTATTTTATAGTGGTAATCTCAAACCACTGGTTGAATTTCCTTCATTTGATGCAGAGGTATTTTCATGAAAGACGATTACCTTTCCGACGTTGGTGGGTGAAGCCACATATACAAGAAGACATGCGAGATAATTTTGGAGCCTACGAAATGTTGTTTTTATATTATGCAAATCATGATAGCGAATCTTTCTATAGTTTGATGAGAATGGATGTGAAATCGTTTCAAAAATTGTATAGTTTTCTGCGTTTAAGACTTATCAAAAAAAGTTGGAGAAAGCCCTTGAGCGGAGAACTGCGCCTTGCTTTAACACTGAGGTAAGTTCCAAATTTATGGAAAATATTTCTTCATTTGACAAAATTTTTCTTTAAATCAAAGTTCCAAGGTTGCTACAAAAAAATTAAGTTTCTTTTTCTGTTTTTTACCTACCAATTTTATTCTTTCGGATTTTTCCCTTAATTCGTTGATTTTCCTAATCTGTGGTAAAATTTTAAAAAAATACATAATATACTCTTTACAAATAAACATAACATTTCCTGTTTATAGTTATCTGGCTTACGGTGATAGCCTCTTCACTACATCAAATTTGTTCCGCGTGGGTAGAAGTACAACGTATGAAATTGTAGGAGAAGTTTGTCCTCTGATATGGGAATTGTTGTCGCCGATTTATCTTCCGTGGAAATCTGCCGATGAGCTTAAAGTTGTTGCCCAGGGTTTTTGTGCAAGATGGGATTTTCCAAACTGCATGGGAGCTCTGGATGGCAAAGAAATACGGATTAAAGCTCCACCACATTCTGGCAGCATGTATTATAATTATAAGAAGTTTTTCAGCTTCAAATTATTAGCAATATGTGATGCACTCGATAATTAATTTTAAAAAATTAGCTTTCGAAGATTATTTATTTACAAAAAAAATAGTTCAATGTCTTTGAAGAATTTTATTGTTTATGAAAATAATTGAATTGTTGCAAATAATTTTTTAAAAATGTTTTAAAAAGAATTGATTTTTTGTGAAAAGTTTTATGTTTGAAAATAATTGAGTTCTTCATAAAGATTTTATGAACATTGTTTAAAATAATAATTTAAATATTATTTTTGAAAGTAATTGAAATATTGTGAAACATTTGTATAAAAATATTGTTTAATAATTGATTTTTATGAAAATACTATTCTAAATTAATTGAATTACTATGAAAATTGTATTGTTTATGAAAATAGTTAAATTTTGTATGAATAATTGAATTTAGAGTTTTTTTTTTAAATAATTGAATCGTTTTAAAGAAATTTATTATAATTTTTGTAACAGTTCTTTGAAATATGTAGGTTCTGTGAGTGACTTGTCTGCATTTCGCAACACCGATTTATACAAAGCCCTAGAAATGGGTGAAATTGATCTTCCTAGAGACGATTTCCTACCTCAAAGCAATATTCTTATGCCATACTTTTTTATCGGTGATGCAATTTTTGAACGAAACTGACGCCTTTTAACAGAAACAATATTGTTTCCGAAGAACAAAGAATTTTTAATGAAAGGTATTTTAATTATTTATTATATTCAATTATGATTTATAAGAAAAATATTTAATAATTTAATTTATTGTAGATTATCCAGAGCACGAAATTGTATCGAAGACTCTTTCGGAATCTTGACGAGCAAATGGACAGTTTTCAACAATCGACTTGATTTTAATACAGAAAAGTCGATAAGCGTTGTTCAAGCATGCATATGTTTACATAATTTTGTAATCAATGAGGAACTGATTAATAATCCCGAGAGAAGACGAGTTTCTGTTCCCGCGCGAGTCCGTGCAAATGAAGAAGCAAGGAATGAATTATTTGTTCATCATAATATGCCTAATGACGCTTATGATCAACAACATCTTTTAGCCACCTATTTCATGTCCCCAGAAGGAGCACTACGTTAAGGTATTTTTTTTATTTGAATTTTAAAAAACTGCGGCTTCGTATTCATCTCCTTGTTACGAATAGGATTTAATTTAATAAAAGTAAAATAGATAAATTATTTTATTATCAATTTAAATCTGTCGTGATAACGAAAAATGCTCTTCAGCAAATTAAATAAATTTGAATAGGTAGGGGACTTTTCCTCTCTCACAATTATTAATATCAATTGTGTAGTTACAATTAATAAGAATAGAAATTATTGGTTAAATTAATATTTATTTAATTATCAAATTTACATATATTTTATAAACCTTTAATTTTCCAATATATAAATGTTCTGGGATTAAAATATAAATTATAATAAAAAAAAGAATGTGAATATTCTTTTTAGTAAAATCTCATGAAATCAACTTATGAAAATTGATTTGTGTATATGAGTGTAATGTGAAATTATTTACTCACTTTTAATCGTTATGTTTGCTTCTTTTATTTGTATTTATATCGCAGCAATCTTCCTTTTCTCTTACTTGTATTTAGTCTCAAACTTGATATTCTTTAAAGTGGACTTAATCTCAATTCAATATTTCTATTTTACAATAAATGGGGACTACGCCCTTTAATTCACAAAAAGGATAAAAATTCTTTAGTCTTTATGACTCACAATATATATAACGTTCAGGTACTTTGCCTGAATTAAACTGCCCAACTTAGTTTCGCCAAGTTTACGCGGGCAACTGCCCAGATTTCTTCTTGTCAATTCTTTTTATTGATTGACAATTAGGTGGGGAAATCCTCAATGCAGTTTATTCTGACAGCTTGCAGAATTTGGTACTTGCAAAATTTAGATTTTGACCACTTCGTTGTTGTGCAATAATTTACAAATAATTGAAAGAAACCTTGCCTTGCGATATTAACATAAAAAG